GCTTGTAAAAATGTTTAATCCAAAAGGTCCAAACATGCATTTTCCATTAGAGAAAAGGAAAATATTTTTTTTGGCAACACTATAAGAAAAATCCGCATTTACTACGGAATTTTACTAGGAAAATTTTTCCTCGTAAATTTATTACAAAATTACTTCGGTTTTACGAAGAAAACTAGAAATAAAGTAAGTTCCTCGTAAACAAACGAGAAATTTTTTTTCTCGTAAGGCCTTAGTAAAATTACGAGGAAACTACGTGGCAAAAGAACAATTCCTTGTAATTTCGTAGTAAAACTTTTCCTCGTAAAGTCCACGTAAAACATTACTACGAAATTAGGAGGAAATATTCTTTTACTTCTAATTAGCGAGGAATTTGCTAGAATATATCTTTTTAAATCTAAAAACATATTTTGTACCTACCTTTCCTCGCAATTTCTTAGTAAATGTTCAGATTCAAAAATTTCTATAAATACCACCATTTGTGATTCATTTCAAACACACCAAAAAAAAATCACTTTTAAGCTTGATCAAAGAAAAAAAAATGTTCGGTCCTGGAAATATTTTCGAGTTGCGGAAGTGGATGTATTCACAAAGAGATAATAACGGGAGAGTGACGAAAGAATTTCTCGAAAGGTTTGAGACATTTATGCATCAAACAAATTCTGCACCACTCACGCAGGAAAGTGGTAAGATGTTTTGTCCTTGTCGGAAATGCTGCAATACAAACTTAGGCCCTCGTGAAAATGTTTGAAAGCATTTAATAAATAGAGGTTTCATGCCATATTATTATATTTGGTATCAACATGGAGGAGATGCTAGTTGTAGGATTGAAACTAGCAGTAGTAATAGCAATTTTCAGATTGAATCGGTTAATCATTTGCATAATGAAAATAGCTATCACCAGGAGGAACAAATGGTAGATTGTGATAGGGTTCATGATATGGTAGGTGATGCATTTGTAACTCATGATGATGATTAAGTTGAAGAACCTAATTTAGATACAAAAAAGTTTTATGAAATGTTAGAAGTTGCGAATGAGCCAATTTACAGTGGTTGTAGAGAAGATCTGTCTAAATTGTCGTTGGCTGCTAGAATGATGAGTATTAAAACCGATCACAATCTACCTGAAAATTGAATGGATGCATGGGCTGACTTGTTTAAAGAGTATTTGCCATAAGATAATGTGTTTGCTGAATCTTATTATGAGATTCAGAAATTGGTATATAGTCTTGGGTTGCCCTCGGAGATGATAGACGTTTGCATCGACAACTTCATGAATTACTGGGGAGATGATGAGAAGTTAGAAGAATGTCGATTTTGTAAGAAGCCAGGATGATGAGAATTTCAGGGTACCGTACCAAAGGATGTGGTATCTACCAATCACAGACAGATTGAAAAGATTGTACCAATCTAAGGAGACTGCTGGAGGGATGAGATGGCACGAAAGCATACTCAGACGGATGGAGAGATGACTCATACATCAGATGCAAGAGCTTGGAAACATTTTAACAAAGAACATCCACATTTCGCTAGCAATAGCTAAAATGTGTATCTTGGATTATGCACTGATGTATTTAATCCATTTGGAATGTTAGAGAGACAATATTCATTGTGGCCAGTCTTTCTTACACCGTACAACCTGCCACCGGAGATGTGCATGCGACGAGAGTTTCTATTATTGACCATATTAATACATGGTCCAAAGCATCCAAAAAAATCTCTCGACGGTTTTCTACAACCGCTGATAAAAGAGTTGAAAGATTCGTGGTCAACAGGGGTGAGGACATATGATTGTTCAACGAAAACAAATTTTACGATGCGAGCAATGCTTTTGTGGACTATAAGTGACTTTCTTGTATACGGGATGTTGTCTGTATGGACTACAAATGGGAGATTAGCTTGTCCATATTGTAATGGAATGACATATGCGTTTTAGTTGAAGAATGGTAGGAAGACTAGTTGGTTCGATTGTCACCGTCAATGTCTTCTCGTTTACCACTCATACGAATAAACAAGACATTGTTCAGGGACAAAATGGTTGTCATAGACACTCCTCCTCCATATTTAACTGGAGAACAAATCGAAGCGCAAATTGATTACTACAGTGCTCTAGAAACAGCTCCTCGTGGTGGGAATTGGCATGTACCCAGTAATATGCATGATTCTTATGTTGTTCAGCACAATTAGAACAAGAAAAGTATATTTTGGGAATTGCCATATTGGAAAGATCTTCTTTTGCGCCAGAACCTCGATGTGATGCATATAGAGAAGAATTTTTTTTGAGAACATCGTGAACACTATATTGAATGTCCCAGGGAAGACGAAAGACAACGTAAAATCGAGGTTGGACTTACTCAATATCTGCTCAAGAAGTGAGCTACATATAAAAAACAATGGGCAAGTTTCAGTTCCGATATTCAGATTGTCGTCAGAAAAAAAGTCTGCGTTGTTCAGCTGGCTGGCTTCAGAAGTGAAGTTCCATGATGGGTATGTTTCAAATCTCTCAAGATGTGTTGAGAAAGGGCAAAAGTTCTTCGGGATGAAGAGCCATGATTGTCATGTCTTTATGCAACGACTACTTCCCTTTGCATTTGCAGAGTTACTATCTGCAAAACTACATGAAACACTTTCAGGTAATTAATATAATACGACGCAAATATTAATTTATATATATATATATATATATGAATATACTAATGTGTTTAATTTTTGTTTTTGTAATATATAAGGAATTAGAGCATTTTTAAGGGATCTGAGCACCCGCACTCTTAAAGAGGAAGTTGTCCAACAACTTCATGAAAACATCCACATCTTAATGTGCAACTTGGAGAAACTATTTCCGCCTACTTTTTTGATGTAATGGAACACCTAGTTGTCCACCTCCCGTATGAGGCATTACTTCGTGGACATGTGCATTATGGATGGATGTATCAGTATAAAAGGGTCATGAAAACTTTGAAAGGAAAAGCCAAAAACCTAGCAAAAGTTGAAGGTTCTATTGTTGCAGAAAGTTTGACGGAAGAAACATCATATTTCACATCGTACTACTTTGCGCCAAAAGTATGTACAAGGAAACGAGCTCCAAAAAGATATGATGATGATGGTGTCGTGCTGATATATATGGAAGAAGATGTTCTAGACATCTTTTGTCAAATTAGGCGATTAAGTGGAAAAATGAAAGAGGTTTAGTGATCGAGTGATGTAGATATTTATGTGCACACTTTTATATTCTTTTCAATTGAGAACATTGATTGATTACTTTGAAAGATAAACATAAAAACATACACACTTATATATATATATATATATATATATATATATATATATATTCAATTGATTAAATAACATAATATATTTTTTCAGTCAATTTGCAAAAGCAACAGTAATAAAACGTGGATGTTGGATTTTCATCGGCTTCATTTGTTTGCTTTATTAAGTCAAATTGGAACAGTTCTATTTGATTTTGAATTAAATCCATTCATTGTATCTACAAAGCAGAGTTTTTCTAATTAGAATGACTTCTGTTTAGGCGTATCAAAGTCATGTTACACCGACATTGCTGTATCCGAAAAATAGTTTGAGAACTTGTCCAAGTTTTGTTTTGCAATAAGAGTATTTGCAGCGTAATTTAACAACGCTGGAAGAAGAATCTGTTAGTGGAGATTTGCCCAGTTCATAGTTATTTTTGAGATCGTAATAATATTTTTTTAACTGAAAATGGCGTTTTCCACGTGGTTTAGACCTTCTTTTTTTTTTTTTTTTTTTTTTTAAAAAAAAAAAATTTGTCAACATGCTTAGACCTTCTTTGTCGGTACAGAGCTTATAATTTTGGCCGAATGACGTGCTTATATAATTTAATCAACATTATTCACGGGATGACACTTAATTTAGTTATTTTCTTAACATCGACAATTAATTTAGTTAGATGATGCAAAACTGCATACTGGATAGTGACCAAACCATGCATAACTAACTAATCGCGTGTAGTTTAGTTATTTTATAGCAGTTGCATACATTTATTTCACACTAACTATTAAAATGTTTGATGTAGTGCTGAGCAAAATATCCTGGCCAGAATAACTTAACTAAATTCAGTTCAACATATGAAGAAATAGAACCGAAGTTGATCCGAACCAAAATATAAAGAGTATTCAAAAATATCTAAATTATAATTATATACGTAACTATATTAATTAGTTTTAATTTAATATCTATAAAATATATAAAATATATGCAAATATTTTAAATATTCAAAATAATCAAAAATAAATATCTGAAAATAGCAAAAAGGATATTCAAAACATGAAAAGTATATGGAATATCTACATGTTTTCTATCCAAATCAAACTAACTTTTATGCTAATTTTAGATATTTAATTTTACAGTAATCAAATTTATATATTGTATATTATTTTTATTTTTAGATTTTGAAAATTTAAAGATATATTTTAATTTATAAAATTTAAACATAATTTAGACAGACACTCAAACCAGAATCGGATTCAAACCAAAAATTATAAATAGTCAAACAGAACTTAAATTTATATCTTTGAAAATCCAAAACTGTATAAACCTGAAGGAATCTCCAAATACCGACTCCTAGTTTGATGTAAATTCACTCCATCTTGATAAGGTCATTTTTTTCTGAAGTTTGAGCAGACAAAAAAGGTTTAAGTATTGGAATCTTGAAAAGCTATTAATTAAAGTTGCTAAATGTCTACATGCATTAACTATGATTTGTCTTTCGCTTAAGCCTTTAACAAAGAAAAAAGAAAGATAATTTGCCGCCACAGTAAACAAATGAGAAACAAAATAAACCTAAAAAGCATTATACACGTGCGGGAAAAGCAAGAGAGAGAAACAGAAATGATAAACTGCGTTCTGTTTACAGCTTTTGTCTTGTCTTTTCGTGATCCTTATCTCTATTTGACACATACACAACACGCGACACACACTGACACATAGATATATAAATCAATGGACTAGCTCATTCATCATCATCATCACCATCAAAAACTTCACAATCCTTTTACTCACAAATTAAGAAAGAAATGGAGATGCAAAGTAACTGCGACTTGGAACTTCGTCTTCTTCCTCTTACATATTCTTCAAACAGCTCCGAAATTCCACAACCAAAGCAAGAACCTCAGATATGTGTTTCTTCAGATCTTATCCATCTCCAGGCAAAAGCTATACTATCACTAGCGAGTAGAGATAAGGAAGAGAGATCATTGTCATTGAAAAGTTCAGACGGCTCTGATCCTTCAGTAATCCCAAGCAATATGAATCAATTTCATCATCAAAAGGGGTCCATGAAGAGATCTCTTCGTAGGTTTCTTGAAAAACGGAATGTTCGGATTCAAGCATCTTGTCCTTACCGCCGGTTCCCGATTGCTCTGTTTATTTGATTTTCAGCATTTTCTCATGTTAGACATCGAGTTAGCACCACTTTTTGTTTTGTTTTATTAGATCGATGTGTTTTCTGTTGTAATATTGAAAGAGTTCATGACACCAAAGACTCAACTACAGAACCCAAAAGAGATTGGGAACAAAGCCAAGACTGAGATAAAAACACTAAGGATCGGAAAGAAATGTTCAAAAATGCTCAACGGTAAGGAGTTTGCTTTAGCTCAAATTGGACCATACTGGGCTATGCAAGTTCATTTCCAAATTCCAACTGAGGATGCACATATGCATGAATCCTTGGAGTCGAAGAGTCAACTATTTACGAGATTTGGATTATTTGATTGAATTCATGTTATCATTGAAAAAAGTTTGTGGAAATATGAACAGTTTTATTAATAAGAGAAAGAAGTCATTTTAATAAAATAAAAATATCTCAATTAGAGTTTAATTATAATTTTTTTTGATCAAAGAGTTTAATTATAATTATCGTATTCAATTTGGGAATTGGGAGGAGGGAGACTCTTTTTCTTCTCCTCTCTTTTTTCTTTTGGTCTTTCTGCCTGCTCCTTCTAACGGTGTGATTGAGTTAGTCGGTAGTGGAACATGATTTTGGTAAAGTGAGCAAATGTTAGGTCAGTGTAATATGTTTTAGTGTTGGATCTAGATAGGGGTGGACGGATCGGATATCTGGGGTATTTTAGGATATCCGGATCCAGATTCGGCGGATCCGTAAAATTACTATCTGGATCCGGATCCGGGCCACCCGGATATCTGGGGTCCGGATATCCAGATTAAAACTCGGATATCTGCGGATATCCAAATCCAGTTTTTTTAAAAAAATTAAAAATTTAGTATTTATTTATTTATTTTATTAAAAATATTATTTTGCAAAAAGTTAAACTAAAATAATAGAATTTACTAAAAAATTAAGTATTAATTATATTTAATAAAAAATCTATAATATACCTATATAAATATAATTATATTTTAAATATTTAGTGGGCCCAAATCCGGATATCCGCCCTGAAAATTTCACTATCCGGATTCGGATCCGGATTCGTTGGATCCGTGAAATCACTATCCGGATTCGGACCCCAGATATCTGTTTTTTCAGAGCGGATCGGAGCGGATCCCGGATCGGAACGGATCCCAGATCGGATAGCGAATATAAGTTCCAACCCTAGATCTAAATGAGTCATTTAAGCGTCATGTATAGGGATATTTTCGATGGACCTCCTCGGTGTTTTAGCTCTTTTGGGCTGTCAGATCAAACAACTTATGTATGGAAAAATTCTTGTTACTTCCTCGGTTTCGTTTCGAAGTTTCTCTTTTCGACTATCTTTATTTGTTTATAACCCTTTTTTAGTACTAGGAGTTCTGGATTCAAAGCTGAAGCTCATAATCTCCCTAGATCCAAAATTATGACTTTGTAACATTGTTTTCTTATTATCATTCGCTCAAATTGGGAACCTATAATACAATTCGAATTGGGATCCTTTAACACAATGACCAAAATCATTTCCAGTTGAGATAATGACTTCTAGTATTTTGCAACTTTTTATAGCTACTTTGATGTGTTAAAATACCTATTGCTTTTGGTTTGTTAAGTATACCTTTTTTTTTCTTGCTAACAACCAATCTTGTTAGGTCAATCAAATTGGTAAACTCTCTTTCAAACACCTACATTTCCATATCTAGTGATATTTACAAGGAAATCATTTTAAACGTTTGGTTGGGTTTTGGTAGGCCTGTTAAAGACCTTTTTTTTGTTTTCGTGTTTTTACTTTAAAAATAACTAGATAATGCGCAGAATAATATTTTTAAAAAATATGTTGTATTTAAATACATATTTTCTTATATATAATTTTTTTTTACATTTGATTAAGGATAGACATTTGGATACTATTTGGTTTGGGTAGGTTCTGTCTGGCTAGATTTTTGCGGGTTTGGTTCGAATCTTTACAAGCTAGGTTTGAGTTTAGATTCTAATAACCCATTTAAATTTGAAAAATATTTTTCAAAATACTTAAACTTGACATAAAAATGATTTATCTTAAATATTTTTACAAACAATTAAAAAATATTTCAAGTTTTTTTTTATGTATTTGGAGTATCGTTTAGCTATTTAAAAAATGTACTTGTAATTATTTATATATTTCAAAGTATTTTGGAAAATTTAAAAACATCTCATGTATTTTATACATTCTAGATGTTAAATTTTAAATAATTAATATATTTATGTATATAAATCAGGTTCAAATACTCTCTGATACCCGAAATATTTTAATTAAGTTTTGGTTCTCTAGATATCAAAATTTTGAATCCGTCTGGATATCTGACCAATTTTGGTTAATGTACTGTACTAATTTTTGGATTAGATTTGGTTCGGTTATTTAGATTCAAATTTTTGCTCAATTCTATATTTTTTTATTGTAACAAAATTTAACCGAAAGGGATGATGGTTCATAGGGCTGAAACTTCAGATACTCGGATCAGTTCCGTATATAATTTGTTCGGTTACGAGTAAATCAGTTATAAGAAAACTATACCCAAATAATACTTAGAAAACTTTGGTTTGGATCCGGATCGGTTCTACCTTGGTTCCGGATTGGTTCGGCTATTTAATTTTAAATCCAAAATATTAAATTTTGTTTATTTTTAATTTATTTTATTTTTATTTTTAAAAATAAAATAAATTAAATTGAATTGTATGTATATTAGTAAAATGTATTAGGGTATGATGAAGTTAAACCAGTCTAGTGGTATTGCCCCTGATAGTTTAATTTGCATGTCCAATCTCGATTCGACATTCCCAGAACACGACACATTTCTCTGTTTCTTAAATGTAGAATCCGGTTTTTTAAATGTCGCAGGCCTAATGGTTTATATTGAAATTGGGTTTGCAACAAATTTTAAACCAAAACATACTCTATTATCTACGTGATTCATTAAGATAATCATTTAAAATTGTTTACTATTCGTTACTGAACTAAAAAACATTATTGATCACATTTTTTTGTGTAAAATAATGATCACATAATTTTTAAACTGAGATTTTTACTATTTTTAGTAATTTATAGTCATTTTAAAAAATTGAAAATAAAACATATAAGAAAATATATAATTTTTTAATATATAGTTAATGTGATTGTTTAAATTTTTTTAATGATATAAAATTAATAAAAAGTAAAGAAGATAAAAATTGTTATCAAATCTTTATTATTCATTAACATTAATTTTGATATATATTGATCATATTAGGTAATTTTGCAACTTTTATTTAGTGAAATAATAAAAAAATATTTTTTTCACACTACTAATTAAATATGATAATTAATTTAATAAAAATGTAACATATGTTTAGTTGGACCAACATAATTCCTAAAAGTTATGAAAATTATTTTCATTGTAACACGTAAATAGAAAACAATATTGTAATACTCCAAGATTAATATATATAGAATTAAATAATTTGTTCAAAATTAGCATTAAACCCCAGGAGGAGGAGGAAGTGAGAAGCCCTAAAAAGGCGTTCGTAACCCGGTCGACGGTCTCGGTGGAATATATCTCTCAGTTACAAAAAAAAAACTTATTTTTGCTTCCAAATTCATGGCTGAGATTCGACTTCGTCATCAAACCATTTCTTAATTTTTATTACTCAAAAAGAAAAGTCGGCTCCTTTCTTGTCTGTTCAGATTCACAAAAAAAAACTTGCAAGTCTTTGGTTTCTCGTTATCTCTGTTTCTTTTGGATCCGTAAATAAGAAGAAAAGAGACATGTTATTCACTAGAGGTGTTTGTCGGATTTCTTCAAAGTTTCTGAGAAACCGCAGCTTCTCTCAAACTCTTCTCGCATCTCATCGCCTCTCAATCATCATCCCCGAACATGGTCACTCTTCTCCCGATACACACAAGGTTATCTCACCTTTCCACTCCTGTTACCGAGAATAATACTCTATTAGAAATTTCTGATGTTTTGATTCATTTCATTCTGAATTTGAGTATCAAGAAGCTCCAATTTTTTACTCTCATCTGTCAATCATTACCATGGAGAGATTAATGACGTTTTATTGATTAAAGGTTTTGTCTTTATTTTAGTAATCACCCCAAAAAGAGGTGTTGTCTTTTTAGTTTCTAATAAGGGTATGTCGCACCCAAATAGTATTTTTCCAATGTTTATCTTCCTCGGTCTTTGACAGATGAAATAACAAAAATGATTGTAACGGATTCAAAAAAAAACTTCATTTTGTTGTATAGAGTTTGGTGACCTAACCAATGTGTTGTGATTCTTTGTGATGTTTTAGTAGGGTTATGTTTGCAGAGGTACTACTTATTCATTCAGTTCTCCCGTTTTTGGTGGTTTTAGACATCATCATCTCTATCACCAGAGCAGCTCAGTTGTTGAGGTTTGATTTTCTTAGCTCCCTTATTTACCATCTCCTTCGAATCATCATGTAGTGCTTAGCTCCCTTAGTTGAGCTTAAATTACGACCCTCTGTTGTTTAATTTTGAACATTGCTTTATTTGTGTAAGAAAAAATCTGACAAGCCCCCAACTGTTATTTTCTTTTACTGTTCATTGCTGATTGCTCCACTTCTTTACTGACTGCTGAAAGAGTAAGATTGTCATTTGCTAGGAGGAGCTTGACCCGTTTTCGCTTGTGGCCGATGAGCTCTCACTTCTTAGTAATAAGTTGAGAGCCATGGTAGTTGCCGAGGTATGTGGCCTTTTCTTTTGTGTCTTTTCTTTTGTACGTATTGTGCTCATAAAGAAGCAAAATTTGCTGCTGGATCTGATGTTCTGAAGAAAAATTATATATGTTTATGTATCTGGCTTCTGCTGTTCAGGTTCCGAAGCTTGCTTCTGCGGCTGAATACTTCTTCAAAAGGGGTGTAGAAGGAAAACAGTTTCGTCCAACTGTAATGATCATACTCTCTTTGATGTTTCTATATCTTGTCATAATGTTCTGAAGTAATTTTCTCTCTTGGTTTCATAACCAGTCTTGTTATGTTAATAGATTTTGCTGTTGATGGCGACTGCTTTGAATGTCCGCGTACCAGAAGCATTGGCTGCTGAATCAGCAGATATAATCTCATCAGAGTTACGCGTAAGGCAAAGGGGTATTGCTGAGATCACCGAAATGATACATGTAGGTTACTCATAAACACTCTCCATAAATTGAAGATTCAGTATCTTTTCTTATTCATTTAGTAATGCTTTGGTCATTTGTAGGTTGCAAGCCTCCTGCACGATGATGTCTTGGATGATGCTGATACAAGGCGTGGTGTTGGTTCCCTAAACTTTGTTATGGGTAACAAGGTACTCATTAGACATGATTAGTGTCATCTTTTTGGCGATTCTGCTGCAGTTAGATATTAAGATCACCATGTACTTCACATTGCAGATATCGGTATTAGCAGGAGACTTTTTGCTCTCTCGGGCTTGTGTGGCTCTTGCTGCTTTAAAAAATACAGAAGTAAGAAAACTAAGAAACTTACCCCTCAATTTGTAAACTTTTCAAGATACGGTTGTTCATAGGCATCAGTGACAACAATCCTAAGTATTGTTTTGTCTTGCAAGCTCATTTGAGTCTCTTTATTGTAGGTTGTATCGTTGCTTGCAACTGTTGTAGAACATCTTGTTACCGGTGAAACCATGCAAATGACCAGCACAACCGATCAGCGTCATAGGTAAGAATCTTACTTCTCCCTTCATTTTAAAATACAGCCATAAATAGAGAAACCTACCCAAGTCTTCTATGCTGCGTAAACAGTAAATATATATACCATATCATTTTTTGATAGTTCATGCAAATATGATCAACACTTTTCCATGGCTACAGTATGGACTACTACATGCAGAAGACATATTATAAGACGGCATCGCTAATCTCAAACAGCTGTAAAGCAGTAGCATTACTCGCTGGACAATCAGCAGAAGTTGCCATGTTAGCTTTTGAATACGGGAAGAATCTGGTTCGTTCTCTATCATCTTCTGAAAAAAATGTTGTCTCCATTGCAACAAGTCTTGGTCTAAATGTTTGATTAGTTTTTATTTTTGTAGGGCTTGGCATTCCAATTGATAGACGACGTTCTTGACTTCACCGGCACATCTGCGTCTCTAGGAAAGGGATCATTATCAGATATCCGACATGGGATCATAACAGCTCCAATCCTATTTGCCATGGAGGAGTTTCCTCAACTACGCAACGTTGTGAGACAGCTTGAAAAAGATCCAACGAATGTTGATATTGTAAGTTTGAAAGAAACAAATCCACTAAAATCTCTTATACATTTTCAAAGTCTCTTATGTTATATTCCTTAAAATCATATCAGGCTTTAGAGTATCTTGGGAAGAGCAATGGGATACAAAGAACAAGAGAGTTAGCTATGGAACATGCCAATCTCGCAGCAGCAGCGATTGGGTCTCTACCTGAAACAGACGATGAAGATGTCAAAAGATCTAGGAGGGCACTTATTGACTTGACACATAGAGTCATCACCAGAAACAAGTGAGGATAAAGAAAAGGTCTCTCTATAATATAGAACAAACATCGTCATAACATTATGAGAATGTTTCAATTTCATTACATTCCATTTGTAGGACTTTGTTTTTGTCCAACACCTTTCACAAAATAATTTGTTGTTGGTTTTCAGTGTAACAACATACAAGGAAAACAGAGACAGTAGACACCTACTTTGTGATGATACTCAACCTTTTCTTGTGAATTTACAGGAAAATCAATCTTTGTTATGTTGTGGATACGTTAGAGTATTACTGGAGTATCATTAGACTCGTACATGTGATGAAACAGAAACATAATAGTACCCTATTCAGATTCGTTGACACGGAGGAACTTGAAGAACTAGTGATGCAATTTTGGTAGGGGGGCAAAGTTGTAAACATGAGATTCTCTACAATCTTTCATATACAAAAACATCATCCCTGTAGGATGTAGCAAGCACAAAGAAAGTAACAAACATCAAGAAGCTAAAAGCTTCTGAGACCTCAAAGAAGAGAATGATGCCTTTTACTTAGTGTTGAGATCCATCAGAATCTTGGGATGTGTTTGAAACATCTGTAGCGGTTTGACCATAAACGGATTCAAATCCACTGGCAAAGACATTTGCGAGAGCAGTCAGCACCTGAAAGACATTGGGAAGGCTTGATTTGAGATTGTCCAGTGTCATTCTCTTACTAACCTCGACCGAGTTTAAGTACTTAGCTTTCTCAACGTCCACTCGTTTTCTCAAGGCTTCAATCTTGGCTTGTTTGATCAACAACGGATGCTTAGAGCCTAAACTTGTTGAGTTTGCGTCCTCTTCCATTGCTGACATTCCCTCGAGCCTTCTTTCCATGTCAGCTAGTGAAATTAGCTCTTTCTCCAGCCTTCTTTCAAGTTTATTCCATTTCCTCCGCAGGTTGTATTCCTCAGTTTGTTGATTAATAACAGATTTGATTGCCATCAGAAAGCTTTTAATGGCCTCTGAAGTTACCTATACCATCCAAAACAGTTGCATTTTAACATACTAAAGACAGCTTTCACGAAGCCAAGAACCAGAATATAAGTTACAAGTGATAGAGAAACCTGATCAGGGAGCTTTTCAAACACAAGCTGCCATTCTTTGCAGAGCTTACGAGCAGAAACAGGCAAACTTGTTCTTTGGTTATCTTCCTTAGAGAGGCGATCAGTAAGTTGGATCCATGTACAGAGTGTCTTCACGTATTCTCGCTGAGAATTTACCAACTTGCAGAAACTATTATACCAGCAAGTAACCTCGGTCTCTAGCTGATTAACCGCCTGGCGTTTGTATTCGGAACTGAGATCTATACTCGGGTAATCTGGAATGTTGTTAAGTTTCTGGGATATATGAACTTGGACTTGATGGCACTTGAGCATTGTTTTCCACATATGTGCAAGTCTGCATGTATTAAGACCACATAAATGTTGAGAAGCTATACATGTGATGGCATAAAGAGTGGTTATGAAGTTTACCCGGAAGTTAAAGCAACTAGCTGTGGATACAGCTCCTCATTGATTAAGTTCAGCACACATGAGCATGTCTCAGTTATGGACTCTTCTAGACGCTGAATCTCGGTTTCCAAACTCTCCAAAGACAAGCGAGTCTTCTCCATCTTGCTCAAATCCGAGGCTTCCCCATCTTGCTTTTGCAGTAACGCAGACTTCCTCTCATGCTCCACTTTGGCAATTTCTTTGTTCTGATCAGAGAATAAGACTCAGCATTCCATTGTTCAATCTGAAAAAACTTAACACTGAAAGAGTTGGATCAGATAGCTCTTACTCTGACTAGCTGGTAAAGTTTCTTCTCAGCTGTGTACAGCTTCTCAAGTGTGCTGCAGTGAGCTCCAGGCCTGCAGGGTTCAACAGCGCCGCTTGTTGTAGAATCTTTGCTCATCTGAAGAGACTTTGAGGACCAGCTCCATGACAGTGCGCTGAATACCTTTGCAGAGCTGCTTCTTTTCCCTGCACCAAGCCACATAAGTATTATAACATGCTTATAAACACATATCAGTATCTGTGGTTGGTCCAACATCCAAAAAGCTTGAAGCAATAAGAGACTTACTTCTTGTTTCTTGATACCTGAAAGGATCAACACCATCCCTACTGTTGATGTCTACTATCACAGCAATCTCCTTCTCGCAACCAGATGCTTTTAGAAAGTAATCATCCAACTCCTTGATGATCCCTTCTAAGGTCCTCCTGATCCTACAATCAGTGTTCTCCAGATCTTTGCCGTAGCAGCTTGTCATCGATGAGTTATCGTCCGTACCTTCTTCCAGCTTAAACGTCAGACGCCGTGGCTTCTTCTTCACGTCACACCCACCAGCGGGTTCTATCTGCTGAACACTTAAAGCAAGTGCTTCTTGTGGCTCATCTTCTTCCTCAAACTCAGACTTCGTCTCTGCCCAGTTCTCCTCTTCAGCTTGCTGAATCTTTTGTTTCCTCTTCAGGTCATGTTGTGTACCTACAATATCACCATTTGGATGACTATGCAGCTCTAGTGACTCAAACGGGTTCCACAAGTTCCAAGAGTTCGGCAATGGAGGCGGAGGAGTTGCACCACTTCCATCAATCTCTGCAGCACCCTCTTCTTCCTCCTCAACAGATTCGTTCTTACCACCAGTCTCAGGCTTTCTCAAATCCGGGCTATATGGAGGAGGAGGTGGAGGAGGAGGCAACGTAGGAGGATGAGGAGGAGAAGGAGGCAATGTAGGAGGAGGAGAAGGAAAACTTAAACCATAACTTGTGTTCTCAAGCTCCAAGGACTCAGACTCTGTGAATTGCCTGAGAGTGACACCAGTGTTCCTCAAAGCTCTAAGATAAGCCAATTGTGCATCTGCAAAATCTCCCCTAAACACTAATAACTTCTTCATTAGTCTCTTTCTTTGCCTACACACTAACACCTTTTCCTCATTGTCAATGCTTGAAGCAGCACAACCCATCTCTTTCCCTTTCACTCTCTCTCTTTAGACTCAATCACTTAAATTCTGAAAACAGAGAATGTCTAAGTTAGCTAACGATTCTAACCAAAAGGTCTAAGCTTTTCAATCTATAGATTCATCAGTGAAACCAAAGTGTTCTCCTTTTTTATATTTTGTTTTGTGGGTCGAAAGTGTTTGGAGGGTTAAAGAGATTACAGCTAATTAAGATCTCAAAATGTGCTTTAGAGAACATACCAACGAAGCTCCGTGAATGATTTATCTCCAAAAAAGGAAGTGACTTTCTTTCATTTCACTTTACCCTTCAACGCCATTGCTCTGGAGAAAGTAGAGGAAGAAGGTAAAACCGTAAAAGACGAAGCTTTGAACCGGGGAAACAGCAGTTTCGACAAAGGTCAAAGCTTGGTCCAAAGCTCAAAAAACAGCAAGAAAAACGATGCAATTTAAGAAGAAAAAAACGAAGAAAGAGTGAGTGAAGAAAGAAATTAATTTGGCATGTTATATATTTTATATGTTTTTTTAGCACAGAGGATACTGACATGGAACCTGGTACAATGACATTTGTTAATTTTATTTTTCTTCTATATCAATGTATAAATAATAGAGAATATTACCATCAGAGTCACATTTACACTTCATAATGTCATATTGAGTCACATCTTTATACAAGAGCACTTTATGCTAAACACCCGTTAAAATTAGTTGTGTAAATCAGGTATAGTTAGTTCTCAACCAAAACCCACTATAACTAGACTTCCTTAATGGGCGGGCTTTAATTATAGCCGTTGATTTCGGTAGCTGACGGACGGCCCAGATCTCCCCAAACAGATCTTGAGTGGACATATACCTGCTTGGATCTCGACCGTCAGATTGTCTCCTTTCCCCCCCCTACGGACGGCTCAGATTGAGTCACTAGTTTTCACCTCTTTCTTTCTACCTCACCGTCGAAAATCTTCTGTTTTTTCACTTCTCCAACTTTAATTCACCGTCATACTCAAGATCTGTTCATCACTTTGCAAACCACACAATATCTGGTAATGATTATTCACTAATTGTCAAGCTTTGTTAAACACGTTTTGTTCTTGTTTGAACCCGATTTCCATCATTTATTAACCATCATCTCCATCATTTTTTTCAGCCGTCGGCCATGGCAGAGCATTGTATGATCATTGCCGGCGAGTGGAAAACCTCTGGAGACAATCATTGGAATTTCGAGATTGACAAAAAACAGATGACAAGGATTGTCCCTCTCCGTGCTGGGATTTCTTTGTCTGAATTACTCAACACAGTTTTCAGAGAGTTCTTTGCCAATGTTGACATCATCCGCACCGCTGTACTCAGCTATTGGCCGCCTAACACGAAGGAACTTGCTACGGGTCTTACCACACCGCCAGTTATGCTCACAAATGACGGTGCTGTGTCCTACTTCTACCACCACTTTCAAGCCAACAAAGCAATGAACTTGTTCGTCACCTTCACCACACCTCAAACTAATCAAACTGATGACACTTCGTTACCTTTTACCACGCCCAACCAACCAATCAACAGGATACACAGTTCTTATTCACCTTCTCCACTCCGACCACTCTCAACCTGTGGGTCTCAGATACCAGGCTTCTCTCTTTTCCCAGATGATGAATTAGACATGGGCCACAACTGTACGCCTGTACACCCCCAAACGTGTACACCATCAGAGTCTTTGGGGCGAACACATGTACAACCTAAAGTGTATCCACCGAGTTACCCCGCCGTACACCCACAGAGCTGTCCACCAGTTCAACGTCGTAAGGCTGGTCCGACCCCTCCTCCCAATGCTAGCAGCTCTGCTCCATCTAAAATTCCCCGCTTTTCTCTTGTCGACGAAACCCTCCTCTGCGGCGATGACCTACTTGAAAGCATGTTTAAAGACGACCCTGCAAACATTCCTGATAGCTGGGTTACTGACGATGAGGAAGACAGTGACTCTGATGCTTCTCTCCCTGGTGATTTAGACAATGTTCAGTCCCGTGGTTATGACCACGATTTCTGGGCCCCCCTCATTGATGAACATCTTGGAGGTTCTGATGCTGCTGCAGTTATGGCGGGTATCTCTGTACCAAAGACTGCTCCCCATACCATCCACTGTGCCACCGGTGACGCTTTCCAACACACGGTTCTTGTGTCAGGTGAGTTGCCTCCATACTGTAAACCGGAAGTCTCTTCACCCCCCGTACACAGCCAGAGCTGTCCACCTGTACAGCGAACCGCTGGTGTACACAACTCACCCCGTACATCCTCTACAGAGCCCAACCTACCACGTCCACCAACCCCACCTGTCCGGGAGACGAGACCCCTATCTGAGATCAGTGACGAGGAGTTCGATATACCTCCCTTGTTTGATGATACCTCTTATCAAGCCGAGGATATCCCAGATTTGTGTATCGACGATGATGAACCTTGGGTGGGCAAATTGTATGCATCAAAGGAAGACTGTCAAATCAGCCTCGCTATCTATGCAATCAAAGAACAATTTTATTTTAGACAGACCAGGACCAGCAGGCATTCCTTTGTTCTCAGTTGTCATGACGTTCGTTGTCCATGGAGAATTCTTGCAAAGGAGCTCACGACGTGCGGTTACTATACTATAAAAAAATGTCTGCTGGATCACACCTGTGATACTGACACTCGAAGCCTATACAGGAAGCGTGCAACTGCTAAAGTCTTAGCACATATCTACCGTTCCAAATATGGCGACCCCATTGACGCACCCAAGGCAATGCAGCTGCAGCAACTTGTTCTTGAAGATTTGCGTGTTGGTGCTTCTTACATGAAATGTCACCGGGCTAAAGGAATTGCCCTCGACATTACACATGGGAATGCGGAGGACTCCTTCCTCAGTGTGGCTGGTTATTTTGAGAGGCTTAAAGCAACAAACCCGGGTACAATCACTGATATTGAGACTGAGATTGACAACGAAGGGAACACAAGGTTTCTATACGCTTTTCTCTCATTTGGTGCTTCAATCCAAGGATTCAGACGCCTACGCCATGTTCTGATTATCGATGGCACTCATCTCTCCGGTAAATACAAGGGTGTACTTCTCACTGCTAGTGGACAAGATGGCAACTTCCAAGTCTTCCCTCTCGCCTTCGCTGTAGTTGATGGAGAAACTGACGAGGCATGGAGATGGTTTCTTACTCACGTTGAGAGGATTATTGCTGATTCCAGCAGCCTCACCATTATCTCTGATCGCAATGCCTCTATAATCAAGGCCAAAGTTGAGGTCTTTCCAAAAGCACATCATGGAGCCTGTATTGTCCATCTCATGCGCAACGTTGTATCTCGCTACAAAAGCAAAGGTCTTGCAAAGATGGTTTGTGAGGCTGCATTCTCATTCCGGCGTTCTGAATTTGATAAAAATTTTGGTAAAATCAAGCTCGCCAATGCAGCCTGCTTCAAATACCTTGAAGATATAGGCACCGCCAAATGGTCTCGTACATATTTCCCTGGTAACCGGTACAATCTCCTCACCAGTAATGTAGCTGAGCAGCTGAACAATGCTATTTCTAAATCAAGAGCTTCCCCTATTGTTGAGATGTTCATGTTCATTCAACGTATGCTAACTCGTTGGTTCTCAGCAAGGAGGATCAAATCTGGTAAACACAGGGGTATTGTCACACCAGAGGTTGATAAAGTCATTCAAAGTCACATCCGTCTAACCAAAGGCAGCAAGATCTCACAAACAAAGGAATGGAGCTATTCAGTTAGGGGTCTCTTTGGTCATGCCAACACTGTCCACCTTGATACTAAAGCCTGTACTTGTCAAGTCTTTCAAAAACTCAAAATACCTTGTGGCCATGCTCTCTTTGCAGCGGATTCATGTGGTCTCCCCTACAGCGGATTAGTTGGTGATTTTTACAAGACACAGCATTGGGTTGATACATACTTAGGTGTAATTCAGCCAGAGGCTCCCTTTGGTGACCACACCATCCCAAAAGCTATTGCTGATCTTACCATCTGCCCGCCAAAAACGCGTCGTCCCTCTGGTCGCCCAAAAGACAAAAGAATTCCTTCTACAGGCGAGATTAAGGTACCTTTCGCTGGTAATCAGATAACAATATTAGCAGTTCTGCATATTTTTTAAACACTATATACTTACATCTACCAATTTGAACAGGCTCCCAAAAAGACAAAGCTCATTCCTAACAAATGCGGTCGCTGCGGTGGCACTGGCCATAATCGCACCCGCTGTGTTGTCCCCATCTGACTGGGGTGAATCTTATATCCACAGACCCAAGCTTTTGGATAGCAAATTCACCAATGATCAGTTTACTCTTTTGTAACTTTCTGGTTTTTTTTGGTAAACATAACTGTACGTTATGTACATGTATTAACTGATCTGAACCTGGTGTTTTTTGACATATATTTGGGTTAACTATGTTTAAATGCATTCTACCTTATAATTGGGATCCAGGTTTCAAATAGATGCTACTAAGGAAATGATCAAAACTTATAATCGTTGTACGAAATTGACAACCATGCGTACAGATGTACAAAAAACGTTTCTCGTACATACGAACACCGGTGATTGAACACACGACACTGGTGGTCTTACTGAAAGACAAGAAAGTTTGCAGGGTTCACATTATGCGTACATATATACTTTTGTCTATGCACTCCATATGTACAACCACATCCATGTACGGCTCATTACAACCAAATCGCGTACACAAATTTAAACCGGACAATTACTTAAACCAAACCGCCACATCAAACGACAACGTTTTCTCACATTATAAAGTGAGAGACAACCCGACCCAAACCTAAAAAACAGAAATTAGGGTTCCGCCGCTGCTGACCACCATGGAAGACACAAATCGAGGTATTCCAACCCACTGTCGATGTGGCTCACCCGTTTCACGGCACACCTCCAAAACCAAAACGAATCCAGGACGCCTCTTTCACAGTTGTCCTTATGGCGATGAGGTATGTCAAATCTACTACATACCCACTAAGGGGCCTTCTCCTCTTACTAATCTACTCTACTACATGACAGCACAACCCCGGGCACCTGTTCAAATGGACCGATCTTTCCATTCTCGAGGAAATTGAGGATATAAAGGCAGATCTTGAGGATGTTAAAATAACAACGCTCGCCAATGACAAGTGTCAAGAAGTTTCAGAATCTAAGCTTCAAAGTCTTTCGCTACAAACACGTACTTGCTGTACTCTCATTCAAAAGTACCAGACCGAGCTCAATTTTCTTGAGCAGGACATAAAACGTCTCAAGGGTGACCTTAAGTGCTTGAAGAACATCTCATTTTGTGCTGTGTTAACTGTTATCATGTACAAGTGTTTTATGTAAGGTTAACTTTCTCCATTTGTTAACTGTTATCATGTTAACTTCACAAATTGTATTAGGTACTAATCTCCCCCTTCCAACTTCCATGATGTAAACGCTTAATTTATGTTTGTATGTTTTCAAACAAACAATGTACCTCTAATCTATTGTGCCTTTAAACTTACCTGGGATGCAGCCTCACTTATAATAGTACAGCCTTACAACTCTGGCAGCCCTTCGTAATGTTTGTACACATGTACGCATTGCCATTATTGTTCGTTATGAATATGTCTATGCGTACATGTGTACAAACATTAGGAAGGGCTGCCTTCTAATTGGCAGAACTCAAGAACTTCGGTCATTATTATGTACACATGTACAGTTCTTACGCATCCAGATGTACACGCTTTATTATACGAACTACCCAAACCCAAATTACTAAGGTTTCAAATTGTCTTAGGTACACTCTCTTCTCAATTTTTAAAGACACAATGGTCGCCCCAACCGAAAACTCTGGTGTATACTTGATCCACCGGAATTCAATCTAATGAGAATCATAACAAAACACTTCATCATAAAAACTGTACCCAAATCTATCTAATTCAACATCAACCAAACATCCCAAATAGTTAATTAGATTAGATAAAGATCAGAAATAGTCAATTACATTAGATAAATAAGTCTTAAATAAACACAAGATCAAACATTAAAACCACCACAAGGGTGGGTTGCCGACATCAAGTCATAAATAACCAAAAAAAAAAAACCATCCGGTTACCTAACAGAGACCACAACAACATATTTTCTCCAGCCTCTCTAATGGCCTCCACCCATGTACAAGGGCACAATCCACTCCTTATACACGTCCATCGCATATTGCTTCCTCATAATGTCCACAAGCAGATCAGTCAGATCCTCAACATCTGGCTCCTCCACACCTGTCGCTGCAAGCTCCATAAACTTCATCGCCACAGGTCCACAATCACCACTCCTAACATTCTGATACCCATCCGCCATCAACAGAATCCCAAATGGTTGCAGCCCATTACCAGGCAAATGAACTGCTGGACATACCTTACGCACAAGGTATGGTAACATCTTCGTAATTGGTGTCATTATAGTCAGAACATCATCTACTTCCCGCAAACTTCTGTTCGGATCATAAACTAACACACTCCAATCGGTTATGCTTATACGCAAACCAACCCAGTGATTTGTACCCCAGAACATCGGAGTGTACAGCAAATCAACATCTACACCCAGCTTCTTTCCTTCCACAGTCAAAAAACTGGCAAGCTTAGGATCAGAAAACACACGCCCCTTGTAAGTTGCCGCCTTGAAAGCTCGGTCCTTCCCAGACAAAAGCTCCACAAACCACGGAGAAACAAACATCGCCCTGTTATTCTTCAAAACCAATTCATGCCTCTCGCTTAGGAAATCCACCAGAACCTCCATATGCTGTACACAAACATCAAATAAACTACAATTTTAGCAAATTAAACAACAAACAAAAAATGGGAAATGAAAATATTCACCTTGCTTGAAACCCACTTCTGCGAAGCCGCAAGGTCCAGAAAAAACTGATTGTCCAAATCATATTTACCCGCACCAAGGTGCAACCTGCCAAAGCAGTTCCAACAACTATTAAATTATCTAAAGTCAGACGATCATTAAAAAAATTCAAAACTTACACTTTCGGATTCTCCAGCAAGACTTTCTCAAAATAACTGTAGTCTGCGTCTTCCACAGACGGAACTATCTGAGCAAGGGTGAATGGTTCTTTCGCCAATAATAAAGAAGCCAGATTCGCTTCCGATTCTGCAGGCCTATGCTTCTCAGAACGAGGACACGGAGATGAATCACTAAGATCTGTTATCTTAGGAACTCCTGTACATTGCAACTCCAAACCTGTCGACCCTTCCTGCAATCAATGAAAAGCTACTCCGTTAATTACACAAACACAATAATTTACGGAAAATAAAAACAAAAGAAAAACAAAAATACCAGCGGTTTCTCTTCAGATGGAGTCTTCTCCACATCATCATCATTAACCCCCTCCCCCGTCTCAGTACAGGGACCCGGAGACGAAACACTAACATCTGTGGACTTAGAAACTCCAACACTCGACAACCCCAACGCTGAGGAACCTCCCTGCATTTAGTGACAAGGTTTGAGGTTTATTTTGTAAAAACAAAAAAAACAAATCACTACTACCTCAGTTTTCTCTTCAGCTTGATTCTTCTCCAAATCGCCAGGATTAACCCCACCCTGATACACCAAACGAAAATAAAAGTTATACCCTCACGCATACAATGTTATTGGTTTCTGGACTTGTACACCTGTACACCTAAAAAGGAATATTCTAAGCCGTAACTCGTACATCTCAAAACTAAATATTCGTACAGCTGTTTCGGATTACTCGTACATCTGTACGGCTAAACTCGAACATGAATCAGTTAATGCCACCACTCAAAAAAAAATTTTTACCTCGAACACCACACCAGAATCCTTCACTATTGCTCCAACAAGTTTGTCAAGCCCACACAACTCCTACAACAAAACAACTCATTAGGATGCAAACACAAAGTAACTACCAAAACTTCACAATTATCGAACCCTAAGGCCTAATAAATTCTTACCTTCTCTTCTATCCCTCCTAGAGAAACTTCCTTCACTTCATCACTCTCTACGGAATTTCCTTCAGAAACACCTTCGCTACTCCCCTGCGACAAAGTACAATTTTGGGATCGATTTCTACTACTTCAAAAACAAAAGAAAATACTTAAAAAACTATATCATCAACCAAAACAAACATACCTCATCCTCAGTAACATAAAACGTATTGGCAGTGGTTGCTCTATAAAGTACAGTCCCCCTTAACCCACTCACTCCCTGCTCAATCCACTGAATGGGTACCCCATCACCTTCCTTCAGTGGTGCAAGTACATCAGGATTGCCTTCAGACGAGCTTCCCTCAACATCCACTTCCCCACTAGGCTCCACAACATCAACACCTACCTTCTCATCCTCTCGAACTACATTCTCTTCACTATCAACACTAACTTCGACCTCATCTACCATGTCCTTAAATTCTTCTCCATCTATAGAACCACCCGCTTCTTCATCCTCATCCACAAATACCCCTTCAACTTTTCCTTCCACAACAGGACCTGTTCCCAAATCGTTTACATCGCCTGAAACATCACCACCATCATTCCCACCGTCTGAATGAAGCCTACCGATATCAAGACTTCGAACAATCTCCCCACCCCCAATGTCATCGGCTATGAAAGGCTCATCTTTTTTTCCAGGGCTATTCTTAAATCTTCTCTTCCCCAGCGACTTCCCACCCAAGAACACATCTTTCTTAGGTGTTGTTCCACCCCTCTTTCTCCTTGGCATCCTCTTCATCATCCAGCTAACTGTTTTCTCCAATTTGGCCATCCGTTCACAACACTTCTCGCATTCTTCTCCATCAACAACTGCCCTTTTCCCAAAGTATGTACTCAAACGCTTCTGCTTCAATGGCGGACCTCCAAGTTCTAGTTTCTTTACACAGGCGACCTCTCTCTTCCTTTTCTTCAGAGCCATCTGGGCCTCATGATCATACAACTTCTCTTGGGCATCACCACCACCCCATTCAGATTTCTTGAAGCTATGCCCCCCTTCAATCAGTCCAACCATATACTTCACTCTCCTATCATCTATCTCGTCGTCCCATTCACCCCATCCTTCCGGCACCTCTTCTCCAGGCTCCATCATTGGCTGCACAATTAACTGAAGCCAAAAAAAAATAAAAAATTATATGTCTTACACATAAAAAGGGGTCATGTACATTTGTACAAGTCTTTGGGCTAAACTTTATATTAGCCCAAACTCGTGTACAAGTTAATTGTCTGAAACATTAAACGTACATGTGTACACCTACTCAAACAATATACTAGAAAAGTCATAAAAACAAAATAAATTAATTTTTACCTCTGCATTGTGCTCGGCTGCCAGTACATCCACAAGATTAAGTCCAGTGTGCTGCTGAAGCTTATCACAGTCTCTCAATTTCAGCTCATCAGTACCTCCAAGCTTACCCAAAAGCTGAGGAATAGCCTCATAAACAACAAGCTGAAGTGCTAGAGGGAAACCCGTCATCTTCTTCGTTTTCTGCCTAAGCCTGGCGCACATTTCGCCCTCAGGATCATCACATTTCCCAATTATCTTCTTCCCAGGAATCATTGTGTTGATAGTCCAGAAAAAAGATTCTCGACCCCAAGGGAAAGCTAGGAACTTCTTCAGACTCTCAAGTAATTTCACATGCTTAACCAATGGTCTAGGTGGCTGTGTAGAGGCTATAAGCACCCCATCAACAATAATCAACAAACATAACTTGAACCTTCTGCTCTTAGAAATGCTTTTGTCCTCTAACACCATCTTCACAACATCAGGGATTGTTATGTCTCTCCTGCCATCAAAAAGCTTGTCCCAGAATACATAATCTTCTTCCTTGTACGTCGGCTGGAAGTCCACAACATAACCAGGTTCGAACTCTCCGCAGGGCAGCCCAGTCACACACCCAAACTCTACAAGTGAAAACCTTAGTGGATTACCACCATAGATGGGCCACAACTCGTACCTCTTCTTACTAACAATCTGCCGCACAAGCATCGCATGAATCATGACCGATGAATAGCTGCACCTACGTACATGTAAAGTGAAAAGCTTTCCAAAACATGAGCTCATGAGCCGGTCCATCTCAGGTGTCCCGCGAAGTAAATCTCTTACAACCAACAGGTTCTCAAGGGTAGAGTACACATTTAGACGCCTGCTAGGGTACCGGTCCGTCGCAAACAATCGCCGTGGAAGCCTTTCGTCGGGTACAACCTCACGGCTTTCATCATCTACATGTACAAAACAACAACAAACAAGTCAAAACAAAACCCCCGAGAAATAAGCAAATCGGAAAAACAATGGAAGGGATCTTTTCCCGGTGGCGAATAAAGGAAAAAAAACGTGTTTACCTATAACGGGATCTTTTCCTTCCCTCCTCCGTCGCGATGTCGTCATTAGAAGTCTTCACTATCTTTTCCTCAGATGTGGTCTCCTCCTTTTGGTTTTTCGAATCCGTCGCTTCACTATCTCTCGGTTTAGGTTACGGTGGAATGGGAAAAGTAGATCTGAGAAAGTAAGACTAAAATAAAAAGAAAAATAATTATAAGTGGCCTTACTCGTTTTGACTTCCCAAAATTTGAATTTCAAAACCCAAAAAAGTGAAAACGAAAAACGTAACTAGAGTAATGGTCTTTAGGCTATCGTTAGTGGGTTTAGGGGGGTAATGGTCTTTCACCGTCCAGAAAGTGTCTTGGGAGCCCAAAGTGACTATGCATGTCACCCAAAGACAGAAAGTGACCCAATATGTTATATTCTCTAAATAATACTACTTTATTTTCTCATGTTGTACCAAGTGAACAATGAATTATTTATCCGACAAAAAACATAATTAAAAAAAGGAAAAGAAAGTATATCCTTTAAAGCGACCAAACATGATCAGAGGCAAAGATTAAGTTGGCTTAGCATAAACAGCGAACAAACTTAAACAAGAAGGAACTGTTTTAAGCCTAAGGTTACTCTTTTTCTGGTTTAACTAATGTTTTTATTTGTGTTCCCATGTCTTTAAGTCATCAGTCACCACGTTCAAAATCAAAAGTGCTGAAAAATGTAAGAGAAGATAAAATATTAAGTCATAAATTAATTTTGTACTATCGTTCATTCATCAAGGGTGTGTTAGGCAAATGGTTTAACACAACAAAATAATTTAACTGTGTCTCTAATTCGATTTCTGATGAGGTGGGTCTCGGGTCTCGCTTTCGCCTACTCATTCTTCTGATTGTTTTATACATTTTTTCTGTAATCCTATGAAATCTGTTTAAAAAAAATTATGACATGTTTTCTCTTGCATTCCAAAACTATTTCAATTTTTTGTATGTTTTCTACTCGGTCTTTTGCAATCCAGTCACATACACAAGTGTTGGAAAGCAAGAGAAAGTATGATTTGAGGGATACAATTCTATTTAACCGCTAAAGGTGGACGTTCAACTATTACCGATAAGATAACTTCAATAAATTGTGGTCCTCCAAAGTCCAAATTTACATGTAATATTAAGGATGAGGTAAATGTTTCTTTTTCTTCCTTCTTAGAAAGGTACATACGCCTTTTTGTATATACAATAAAGAGAGAAGAAAGAAAAAAGAAACTTTTGTTTATCCAAAAAGGTTTGGAGCTTGCAACTATTTTACAAGTAAAAACTGAGAAAGGTATGGAAAAGAGACAAAGATGACAAGATTACACTAGGCAGATAGAAAGAGATAGGCAGCATCCTAAGAGAAGAGTGACGCGTATGTTAACCATTGCATTTATCAACTTAATTTGTCAACATCAAATATAAAAGGTGATCTAATTAAGCTGGATTCTATACAATTGGGATATGAGAGTTCAATAAACTTAATTTGAAACTGACTATACAATGACCAGTATATGACTAGACAACCAAAGCATATTTTACATGTATCATTGAATACTATCCAAAAGCAGTATTACTTGGTCACAAAGTTTATGGCTTTGTTTGTGGTTTATGATGAATGAAACTGAAGGGTATCTTAATCATCAAGTCTGGTTCAATAAAAAAACCCTTATACAAAAGTACGTCACTTAATGTGATTTGTCTTGCTGGTTAGAAAGAGTGCTTTAATTTTCCTAATGGATTCGATAAAACTCTACAAATAAAAGCAAATGAAGTATGCATACATCAGTGTTTCAAAAAAAAAAAAAGAATTATGCATACATCAATCTATAGTTGATTTCGCCATAAGCTTGTATAGCTGTATGCACAGATATAAAATAATAGAAGGGTTCTCATTAAGCATTCTCATGGGTTTTACATTGGTATGAATGTTTCAAGCAGAACAAACCAAACAAAATAAACCAAACCTATATGAAAATTCAGTTAATGTTTGGTTTGTGATACTTCAAAAACCTGATTAAAATTTAATTTGAAAGTAGAATTTGATACAACACAGCTTTAGGTCTCTCTCACCCAATCCAATCACAGTTCTCATCACCATAACATATTGAATGACACACAGAAAGAAATTTGCACTAGATGTAATCACTCTTTAGATTTCACGCATCAATTTTTAGTAACGAATTGAGTGAAGTGCTGTTGAACTTCTGAGCAAAGCCTCGGATTACAAGCACTATAACATCGCGGAGATGGCGTGAATGCACCACCATGTCCACTGCATTCTCACTATCGACAACAACCCTTAGCCTTCTCTGGTCATTACGAAATGTCTCTACCTGTTTTCACGCAAAAGAAAATGATAAAACTTTGTGAGATAATATGATAAAACTAAGACTCCAGTGTGAATGTGGTCATAGAAACACTTACATGGAAAGGAGGAACATAGCTTCCACGAACTTCAGTACTTGCGAAAGACGTCTTTGAGCCTGGTTTCACAACCTTTAACCTCTTCCTGTTCATTTCTAGCATTCGTCTCTCGAGATTTCCATCTCCCACAATCTACAACAACCATTAGCACTTTCAACCTTCAGAAAACCCACAACTGGATGAATAAAAAAAAATCAGCTTTGTGAGTTCCAAGTACAGACCTTTTTTGGATACGGGTCCTTGTCACAAAGCACCTGATTCCATAAGATCAAAAGAAGAAAACTGAATCTACAGTATTGCTTTAATGGGAAAACTCGTGAAGTTGAGTAAACACAGAGTTACTCTTACCTCAAACTTCACTAAACCAGTTTCTAGTTTCAGCTTCACTTCCTTATAGAGATCAGGTTCTGCAAATTAAGCATCAGCATGAATCCCATTGCTTTTAGGAAAAAATAAGAGTAGTCATGGAAGAGGCAACAGAGATCCCTCTTGAGGCCATATTGAGAGACACATAACAACAAAAAATGACAATGGTGATGGTGAGTATGATGATGAGTGAAGATCTTACCAACAGCAACAGGTTCTGTAGATGCAGAAACTGGGTGACCTTCAACACCATCATCACGTATGGGTGTGTACACAACGACCAGTCTGTATCCGACATCATCGACATTAGCTTCATACATCCTTCCTGTCTCACCTACAAACTCATCATAAATTAATCAAAATTCCCTAGATGAAAAATTGTTGAAACTTCTTTCCGGTATTTCGATACAAGAGAACTGAGAATTGCTGAGCTTTACTATTTGACATGAAGGAAATAACACTGTGACTCAAAGTTTTGTGGGTACCTGGAATTGAGATGAGATCAGGGCTTCCAACCATTGATCTAAGCCACTGGATTTTACTCTTACCCTCTTTACCACCAAAATAATTGCCTCGGAGAGCGTATAAGTTGGTGTGGAAACCTCCTCCTTCAATCTCCAGCTTCTCGATCCTAGGGAAACCTGAAGCAGATACAAAATTAGTCACAAAGCTCACTTCATTAGAGATATTGCGTAACAAGATGCAATGGCAACTGAAATGCATAGAAACCTGGAGAGATTGGATCAGTCTCGGCGTATGCCGGTTCACTAGACCTTCCAAACACATCATGTACTACACATTCACATTTGAGACATCTGCCAATATCTTCAAGCCGCACCTTGTATGAACACGAAATTTCAGAAGAGAGTGCTTCATACGATATCTCATTCCCTGATTCTAGTGAGCGGAACCTGTCACAACCCTTGCTATGTGAGATCAAATACATAAACAGTTTCTGAGAAAGGTCTTCGTAGAGTCACTTATAAAGCTAGAACCCAGTTGCCAAAAAGAAATCTGGAACATGTTCAACTT